ACGCCAAACGCCTTTGGCGTGCAGGCCTGCACGCCAACCTGCAGGGTATATCCCTGCAGGTCATTGGCGTGCCGCCCCGCACGCCAATTTTCGTTGGCGTGCAGGCGCGCACGCCAATCTGCAGCTGGCGTGCGGATTGGCGTGCGCGAGGGGGGTGGGCTTGCGGTAATCAACCCCCCTATCATGTCTACCCAGAATCCTCGACTTCCTACTCTCAAAGAGGAGAATTACTCCCATTGGAAGAAGAAGATCGAAGCGTACTGCATGGAGAAAAATCTCGACGGTTATCTTACGGCAGACAAAGCAATGACGGCCACCGACGCAAACAAAGAACTGTGGACCGAAAGAAAAATTCAAACTGCCGGTATCCTACTCAGCAATCTTAGCGATGACAACGAAGCTCGGTTTGTTACCGATGACAACCGAAGATCGCCTCACCTGCTTTGGAGTGCCCTTCAAAGACACTTCGAGGCCAACACCACCCAAAACCAAGCTAAAATCTACCGAAAATTTCTTCAGATCAACTTCAAGTCTACTCTCTCTGACTTCTTGGTCCAAATCGATAACAGCATAGCGAACATGCAATCAGTTGGCCTGAAAATCGGCATTCCAGAACCAGATCAACCAGACGTGAATGAAATACTTCTTTCCGAACAAATAGTCGACAAACTTCCCTCATCATTCGACACCACCAAGGACCTCATTGCTCTTAAAAGGCCCTTAAATCTTCAAAAAGTCAGAGACCAGCTTAATGAAAAATCTCTCGACTCGACCAACAGTCCAGCAATCAAAACCGAAACCGCATTGAAAGCGACTTCATCAAACAGTTATTGCGACAACGGCAAGCACAATCCCAAGTGCCGACACTCCGAGGCTCGATGTTACCAACTCCATCCAGAACTTGCTCCCGACTCGTACAAAAACAAACGGTCAGCTAAAGTAGCCACCACCGATCTTGCTGATGACGGCGACAACAGAAGCATCTCGAGCCAGCGTGGCATTTATTACTGTGCGGGAAAGGCCTTCATGTCATCCCGCGAGGGAAAGAACGGCCTAATTCTTCTCGATAGCGGTTGCTCTGACCACATGATCCCAACTCGGTCGTCTTTCTTCAATTATGCTCCCATGAAATCCTCTGTTGAAATTGCTGACGGTCAGAAGCTTCAAATTGTCGGATCCGGCCATATCAAGATCAAGAACTCGTTCGGACAAGTGCACACCCTTAAAGCGCTTCACGTCCCCGACTTATCTCATCCACTAATCAGTTTTGGTCGCCTCTTTCTCAAGAATTGTGACTTCGTCAGGCAAGGTCCCACGTCGTTTGCATTCGTTGACGTTTCCTCTTCTGCTAAGCTCTTTACTGGGATAGTTGAAGGGAAGATACTTGCAATCGCTGCTCAAATACTCGATTCCCCAGGTCAGTCATCTCAAGTCATCAAACACATCTCCAACAAAGCCACCATCACTGAAGCTGAATCTTTACACAGGAGAGCCGGTCATCCCAGCGCACAAGCACTGAAGCTCATGTACGACGTTGACTTCTCAACTCTATCGTGTGACTCATGTCGAATTTTGAAGTCTCAAAGGCTTCCTTTTTCCGGTTCTCTTCCAAACCCGTCTGGACTGCTCGATTATATTTATATGGATCTGAGCGGGAAGATCACGCCTGCCACTCTCGGAGGTGGAAAGTACTACTTCAAAATCACAGATGCATTCTCCTCATTCAAATATGTTTACATTCTGTCATCCAAGTCTCAAGCATTCGAGAAATTCAAAATCTTTTGTAACGAGGTCCAAAATTTTCACTCTGTTAAAATCAGGAATGTAGTCACCGACGGAGGGGGAGAATTTTGCTCAAAGATCTTTGATCAATTCTACAACTCGACTGGAATTGTTCATCACATTACCGCTCCTTACACTCCTCAGCAAAATTCAATTGCTGAGAGAGGCAACCGCACGACTAGCGAAAAAGCGAGAGCGCTGCTGAAGCAGGCTTCTCTTCCCTCCTCATTGTGGGGAGAGGCAGTCGATACGGCAGTACTGTATGAGAATATAACTCCCATGAAAAGACTGAAGTGGGCAACTCCGTACGAGCTGTGGTATGGTCTCAAGTTCAATGTTGACCGTCTCCGAACGTTCGGTTGCCGAGCATATGTCAACATCCCAAAAGAAATCCGTAATGGAAAATTTGGAGATACGGCTAAGCGCGGCATCCTAGTCGGCTACAGGCGGGGAATCCATAACTGGCGGATTCTTTTTCCCGGGAACCGGGTTGAGTATAGCCATGATGTAGTCTTTGACGAATCATGCTTCCCAGGAATCTCCCCGGTTCCTGACGCCTGTGAGGATCAATTCTCTCCTTTTGAGGAAGAGGAGGATCAGCCCTCCAGCTCTTCAATTAACTCCACTGTCCGTCCTCCGGACTCGCCGACACCTCAGTCAGAGCCGATGCAGGAGGATGAACCCCCAATCTCGGATCCTCGGGAGGAGCCGCAGCCAGAACCGATACAGGAAGACGAACTAATTTCTACTTCGGATCATCGGGAAGAGCAGCAATCTGACATCCCAGATCCGGATATCATCCGAGACACGGATTCTGTCTCGCGCGAGACCGCTCCGCAGCATTCTGTGCCCCCAACTCCCAACCCTAATCCCATCTCCGATTCGGCCGCAGCATCATCAAGTGCGCGTCCCAAGCCTGGTTGGACCTACGTTCCAGCGAACCAACCAGCTCCCAAGAACATATCCTCTTCCATCGATTCCTCCAACATCATCTCTGATCGCAGGCGTCGTGCAAACGCAGTCAACAACATCCTCACCAACACTCCCTTCTACAAAGCTATCTTTGCTATGGCAGTCTCGACCTCCAATGATCCCATCCCGGTTCCAAAAACCTACTCCGCTGCTATGGCTTCTCCTGAATCGGATGACTGGCGTGCGGCGATCAAGTCTGAACTCGACGCAATGGCTCGCCTGGGGGTATGGGAAGTTGTTCCAACTCCCTCAAGTCGCTCTCTCCTAGGCACCGTTTGGGTTTTTCGAAAGAAGTATGATGCTCACGGCAATCTCGTGAAGTTCAAAGCTCGCTTGTGCGCCCAAGGAAGTGCCCAACAAGAGGGCATTGACTTCAACGAAACGTACGCTCCGACGGGTCGCTCTGCCGCTCTCCGCACGGCGCTCACCATAGGAGTCAACTCGGGCATGAAGATCCATCAGATGGATGTACGCAATGCCTTCCTCAACGGGGATCTAGATGAGGTAATTTTTCTTCGATGTCCTCAAGGGTTCTCTGCTCCACCGGGTCATTGCCTCAGGCTCAAGAAATCTATTTATGGTTTAAAACAGGCGCCCCGTGTGTGGTACGGCGAGCTTAACACCTTTTTTGATTCCATCAACTTTGCTCCCTCGGTTGCCGACCCCTGTCTGTTCATCTCCAAGGACCCGGATTGGCAATGTCTTTTCCATGTGTACGTGGATGACATGGCTATCATCAGTCATGATGTGGATCGCTTTAAAAAACTAGTCAACGCTCGCTTCCTCATGGACGATCTTGGTCCAGCCAGCTCGCTTCTCGGAATGAAGATCAGTCACTTTGACGGTTTCATTACGCTCTCCCAGGATCGCCATATCGACGAACTCCTCAAGGAATACAATCTGGTGGATGCTCGATCGGTCTCTACTCCGATGGTCCCCAACACCCGACTCACATCCGCATCTGACGAAGAAATCGCCCAACTTGCGGCTCTCAACGTCAACTACCGCAGGGCAATTGGATCTCTCAACTACATTTCTGTGGCCACTAGACCTGACATCTCCTTCGCCGTCTCTCAACTCTCTCAACATTTAGAGAATCCGGGTATAAATCACTGGCGAGCCTTCCTCCATCTTCTCCGTTATCTCTCCGGCACCAGGGACTTATCTGTAAGGCTCGGAGGTGGTGACGGAAAATTTCGCATCTACACGGATGCCGACTGGGGAAATTGTGCCGACACTCGTCGCTCTTACTCCGGCTATCTGGTTACCTGGGGCGATTCAGTCATCTCTTGGAAAGCCAAGAAGCAGTCATCGGTCTCTTCCTCTACCACGGAGGCGGAATATCGTTCATTGTACGACGGCATCCAGGAAGCGGTTTGGCTCAACTCTTTAATGGAATCTATCACCGGTTCGCCCATCTACCCGATCTCTGTGTTCACCGACAATCAAGCCGCGCTCGCCCTTTCGAAAAACCCTCTAGCTAATCATCGGACCAAACACATCGACATCAAGTTTCACTTCAATCGTGATGCAGTCAAGAACGGCTGGGTCACCATTTCCTACATCCCAACCACCGACATGCCGGCGGATGGTCTCACCAAATCACTCGCAAACTCCAAGCATCTCGCCTTCATCAATCTCCTCAAAATGAAGATCGAGGACATTCAAAGCTAGAAAAGGAGGGGGGGTATTAGCATATTTGTATTCTAGCTCATCTATAAGCATACTCAAGATAAGATTAGATTCACAAAGCTGTACGCAGCCATGCGCAGTAGCTCTTAAACCTAATTGATACTTTATATAGTTTTGCATAACTCGTTGTAACGGTTCTCTAACCAAAAAGTATCTGTTACGTCTCGCTCTTGCTCACGTTCCTGCTACAACCCTTAGGTTGGTTCTCTTGTGCTCGTCATCGCCGCTGTTCGCCTGCTTGTGACTTACGCACATCAAACCCTCAAAGGTTGGTTCTCTTGTGCTCGTCATCGCCGCTGTTCGCCTGCTTGTGACTTACGCACATCAAACCCTCAAAGACTTTCGTCTTATATGGACGAGTATCCAGAACGAAGCGACAAATATCTGGAGCGAATTTGGATATGTGCCCAAGAGCGAGCTTCGTGAGTGATGCCCAAGGCGATCTTCCGGCTTGTCTTGATAAAAACTGGGTTTACTTACTGGGCAGCTTATAGATTCGAAGGACAAGAACAGGCATTCACCAAGGCGAAAACGATAAAAAGCAACTTCCAGACGAGGGAACGCATTGTGGAACAGGCTTGCCAACTGCATAGTTATTCCACGAAGCTGGGCCTGTGCCTCCAAAGATTGAGGTGTGACTTGAAGCTGCTTCCAAATTGAAGACCCTTGATCCAATGCCGTTAACCCCTGCTTGGTGTAAGATTGAATTTCACTGGTGACTTGAGTCACCCACGCAATGACAAAGATGGTAATGACCATCGCAGCAATCGGAACAAAGGTGAAGATGAAGTTTATCAATTGTGGTGGAATGTGTCTGATTGAAGCCATCGATTTCTCTTGTTGTTTTTTGTTACCATGGCAGCTTGATGAGGTGCGAAGTCAGCCCCAACGCATTAGCTCAAGAGAAATAACCGGACGAACATCGTAATCACCAAGAAACAATGTGACAGACTCCAGTAGGCAAAAGTTTCGGCCAGATTCATTAAACCAACACTGCAATTTGTTTTGTATTCACGAAACTTTAATCTTAACAGAACACAAGCTCTTACGAAATCAGCCAAGGATGTACTCACGCAGGTAAAGCCCGACTGCCGAAGAGGTGTTCGCCTGGCAAAGCGGCCCCGATGTCAAACCAAATGAAAGCTGAAGTACTTGCAGAACTCAACAGTTGGGAAGTGGTCAATAAAACTCCAGCATTGGCGAAGTACAATGGTACTTGATGAGCTTGAGCGGAAAAAGATAAGGCCTTGCCATGTCAGCACCATGAACTCTCACAACGAGCCCTCAACACACCTTTTCCGCTGGAGTGATCTTCAATATACAACTTTCTCAGATACCATGGGGATGGTTTCAGTGGTCGAATGCATGGCAGTGTCAAGAGGAGCAAACAAGTTGCGGCAATAAATGCGTGTAGAATCAAAATAACTACCAAGGATACTAAGGCGGCTCGGCATAGCGGCACGGAACCCCACTTCAGAATGGAATGTTTGATGTAGTCATACGGATCAGCACCAACAGGAATGGAGCTTAGAAGGCTTTCGACACGCAACATGAGCAAGTTTCGTTCCGAGGATGAGTAGTGGTGTCGGTGTGCCTTCTCTCCAGTCGGATGCAGGAAAAACCAAGCGATGACCAAGACGAAACACACTCCGAAAGGTGTCTTCTAGAAGTTTTGTCGGATGAGAGAACAGATCTCATTGGTTTGAATGCCCGTCAACAAGAGGTCAAAGGCGAAGTGGAAATGTGTTTGCCTGATTTCTGCAAGTTTTCCCAGGCTGCAGCGGCTATGTTGACATAAGAATGCAAACCTTAAACAATTTCATTTCATTTTAGAACTACATACAACCGGTTTGTTAACTTTTGTTGAACTGTGAGGACCAAATTGGGTACATATGTCATTGTTTTCTTATGAGGCTATGAAGACCGCGTTGGTGAAATGCGGTTCTTTCAATTCTTAACTTCCAACAAGGGACACATCGTTTGTGGTTATTTTGAAAAAATTTATCAGGTAACTGTGCATTCTTCCTCAGTTCTGGATGTGAAGGGTCATGAACAGTTCAGAGTTGCCTCAAAATGGTTCAACACATTATGTTAACCACCCTCACTCCAATTGCAGCACATATTTAAAAATAGTAGAGGTTGGAAACCCCCCACTTCATTGGATTTGTTTGATCTTGTAAAAATAATTTCTAACACCAAATGACATTGAAATCCATCAGACTCCTAAAATATCACTCACAACATGATTGATCCACATTTTAACACCAATTCCTATTGGTTCTTTGTTTTATCTGTAGCCTCAAATCTAGAGCACAGGGAGTGGGATTTGCAAATTCACTACCCCCTCTCCTGGATCTCAGCTTTGAAGCCTGTTTGATAATTGGTTGCTTCTCATCGTGGTTTATCCTCAATCCAAATTCTTTGGAATTTTGAAACCTATTGTAACGCTACCTGACCTTCCCTGGGTCAGCTCAGTTGATCTTAGGACAGGAATAATTCATACACATTTGTACTCATGGGACATTCAACCAAGGGAAAAACAGTACCAATCTTCTTTTGAGTCGAAAGCTCAGGAAACAAACATTTCCAGGTTGGAAATTTGGAATGTGCTGGAAATTGAGATGGCACGTTGTGCTGATCCGGCATACTCTTTCCCTGCGTTTCTGGATGACTCGCAAGAGTGAATGAGAAAAGACCCCTCAAAAAGAATCAGCTCCTTTGAAGATGCTAGTTTGTGATTCCTGACTATAACTTATAAGCCTTCATGAGAATTTTCTTGGAGGTGGGAGCTTTGATAAGCTTTAACTTCCCGCTGTTTGGAAGGTGCCAGGAACACCACAGGGGACAGTACATAGATAGCTACTTGCAAGATCACTTGATGTATTTGCGTTTTTTCAACTTCCTTGATCTTGGATTTTGCCACTTTCTGATTTGAGTGTGTCTGGCAGCACTAGCTGATTGAAGTTTCTGATTTTTAGCCAGTCTGCTTCTGCTGTTTATGTAGTTATTTATCCGTTAGCAGAAGATATTAAGGAGTTGTTGGCTGATTCCGGCCATAAGCGTTTGGACAGTCTCGGCCAATTCAGAAAACGGAGATATTGTGTGTGGCTCTTCAGACAACATGATCAGGGTATTCACTCGCTCAGAAGAACGCCTAGCCTCATCATCCGAGCTTTCCGAATTTGAAGAATCCGTCAAGACCAGTTCAGTTCCATGTGCCACCGTTGGTGATGTCAAAAAGTCAAACCTACCGAGTGTAGCAGTTTTGCTATCTTGTCGAGGAAAGAAGGAGGGCGAAGTGGCGATGGCAAAAAACGAAAGCAATGGCGCAGTAGAGGCCTACCAATGGGATGGAATGAAAGGCGATTGGTCAATGGTCGGGACGGTCGTCAATGGTATTGGCTCAGCAAGAAAACAGCTCTTCGAAGGAAAGGAGTATGATTACGTCTTCGATTTCGATATCAAGGACGGAGAGCCTCCTCTCAAACTACCCTACAACGCATCTGGTAGGCTTGGTTCTCTTGTTGGTCATCATTCTCACCAGAGTATTGAATCTGTCTCAAATCACACATTATCTTCACAGATAATCCATACACTGTCGCTCAAAAATGGCTCGCAAAGCACGAGCTGCCCAGCACCTACGTCAACCAAGTCGTAGCCTTCATCAATAAAAATACATCTGGCGTAGCCCTAGGAGGGCCGACTGCAGGCTCGGATCCGTTCACTGGTTCAGCCAGCTACCGCCCTAATCCTGGTCAAAATCAAACCCAGTCAAATGTTGGAGCTGATCCTTTCACCGGCGCTGGCAGCTATCGGCCGAATAGTGGTGCACCCTCTGTTAGTAAGGATATTGGTCTTACTATCCAGTTGATTTTGCAATCTAATTGACTATTCATCCGACAGGTGTCCGGTCGAATGAAAACAAGCCATCAGTTTCTCTGCTGCCTCATGTGTATTCCATGTTTCATATCTGAATTCATGAGAGCTATGACAGCTGATTTTGTAATTATAACAATCGCCAGAAATCCTTTCTCAGTTTTCCGCCGACTAACTCTAACTTTTCAGTGGTAACAGGAAAGATCAACTCAGTTCACAACTCTTGAGTCTCAAGAATGAACTGCCATCTTTGTTTGCCCCCACTAGCCCTAATTGATCAATATTTTCAGGGCGGGAAAGAACTTTCTCCAACTGAGAGCATATCCACCGCGGGAGGTAAACCGGGTTTGTATCCCGCGTCTAGCAACCCGAACCCAAAAAACACCACCCACCCGGGGTGCTAAACTCATAAAAGTATTACCTCCGGAGGTAAAATTTCATGTCAAGTTGCTACATGTAGCAACTCTATAGCAACCCAATAGCTCTTGTGAAATCTCACATCTCCATGACATGGACGGTGTTTCCCTTGTGATCTCTTCATGAAACTATCAAACCTTTTCTCTCCTTCCCCGATTCATCTCCTCTCTCCTTCCCCCGGTTTGTCCCCATATATATACCTATTTCACACAACAATACATATCCCATTTTTTCACTAAAACTTTTCAAAATGGATCCAACAATTGATCCAACTCTTGGTATGTGCATTGCTTGATTGAGTTTCATGATTAATTTATCTGATAGTCTTGGGTTTTGTTTTGCAGCCGACATTGAATTGGTTGGAGTTTCCTCCCAAAAACCCATCCATTCTCTGGAGCCCGATTCCGATGTTGAAATCCGACCTTCAAAAAAAAAAAAGGCGCCAACGCGAAAAAGACAGGACCAAAAAAGAAGAAAAAAGCATCACCAAAAAAGAAGAACGAAGCAGCAGCAGCAAGTAAAAACGGAGACCAACCAGCTGCCGAGAAAACAGTAGAACCAAAGAAAAAAAAATCAAAAAAGAAGGATTCTACGAGCGACCCGGCCACAACGAAAGCCCCCAAGACACGTTACCAAGAACATGAAGATGTTCAAATCTGCCTGTCTTGGCTAGAAGTATCCCAAGACCCCCTCAACTCGACAAATCAGACTTCAGACACATTCTGGAACCGAGTTGCCAATCACTTCACGAAAGCAATTAGTGATGGATCCCGATCTGGTACGAGTATCAAAAGTCGCTGGCAACTTCTCCAACAACGGGTCAATAAGTTTTCCGGCTGCGTCAAGCAAATTGAGCTCTCCAATCAGAGTGGGACCTCGGCTGAAGATCGATTGAGCAGCGCGCTCAAGCTCTACATGGCTCTCTCAGATCAGCCATTTTCTCATCTACGTTGCTACAACATTCTCAATCTTGCTCCCAAGTGGAAGGACCATTGCGTTGAAATTGAAAAGAAGCACAAGACAACGAATATTAGTAGTACTAGTAGTTCTGCTGCATCCGCCATATCATCGTTAGACGACAACGGACCCGCCGATTCTCTTTCCTCTGATGTGATCAATGATCCTGCCAACAGCGATGCTTCCACGATTCAATCTAGCAAGATTAAGCGCCCAATGGGAAACAGGAAGGCTAAAGATCTAGCCCAACAAACACGAGAAGATAAAAAGTTCAAGGACGAAATCCTCTTATTTCACAAGGAGCTATCCAACAACTCGAAAGCTCAAAATCAAATCCTTTCTGAGCAGAAAGATGCAATGGCGACTCTAGCAAACAATACCATAATGCAAATCGATCTTTCGACTGTCAGCGAGGCCAGCCGCCCCTTTTACGATTGGCAGCAAAGGAAAGTTTTGGATCAGGTTAAGAGAGAACAAGCGGAATATGAGAAAAAATTAAAAGAAGAAGAAGAATTGAAAAGAAAGAAAGATGAAGAAGAGAATAAAAAAAAGAAAGAAGAAGAGAAAAAAAAGAAAGAAGAAGCACAAAAAAAAACACAACAAGAGTCGGATGACGAAGAGGACGAGGAGGACGAGGAGGACGAGGAGGACGAGGATGAAGACGAGAACAATGATGAGAGCGGGGAGGACGAGGAGGAGGAATAGGATTCTTTTAATTCCTCTTGATCTCCTGTAATCAGTCTATTGCTTCCTGTTCATGTCAATCGTGCTGTCTTCTCTTCCTGTTTTCCTTTAATTTTTTTACTAAGTTAAAAAAATTGAGAATACATCATCATGCCCGTGTTCAATTTCCCGCAATCCAATCGGACATGGGGGGGTGAAGCTGTCGTGTCCGATTTCCTGCAATCGGACACGGCCAAGGTAAGACAATCTGTTTCTCCTCGCCGTGTCCGATTGCATGCAATCGGACACAAGCAAGGTGATGCTGTCATGTCCAATTTCCTGCCATCGGACACAGCCAAGGAAGGTAAAGACAATCTCTTTCACCTCGCCGTGTCCGATTGCATGCAATCGGACACCAGCGAGGTGAAGCTGTCGTGTCCGATTTCCTGCCATCGGACATGGCCAAAAGACGGTTGGTTTCACCTCGCTGGTGTCTGATTGCATGCAATCGGACGCCAGCGAGGTGAAGCTCTCTGGTGTGCTTCACCTCACCTGTGTCCGATTGCATGCGATTGGACACCAGCGAGGTGAAGCTGTCGTGTCCAATTTACTGCAATCGGACACGGCCAAGGTAAAGATGATCTGTTTCACCTCGCCGTGTCCGATTGCATGCAATTGGACACCAGCGAGGTGAAAGATGATGTGGTTTTGGAATCATCTGGGGGCTATTTTTGATTTAAAAAAAATTATTGCAATTTAAAACTATCGAGCAAAAGGGACACAAAACAAGTTGGAAGAATCCTAAGTACTTGTGCCTTTGATTGCCCACAAATGCTTTACAAGATCATCTCGTAGTCAATAGTGAGCTTCTGTGTCTCTCAAATTGAGTGAGTTTGTGATGAATTCAGAGAAATCAGCTGATCGGGCAGAGCTGGGCTGAACCAATGTTGGAGATCCATCGTAAATGAACTCCTCATCCATCCCGCGTTCATCGTCAATTATCATGTTGTGTAAAATGACACAAGCGGTCATTATCATCTGCATATTTGAATGACTCCAGCCTCTTGCGGGTCGTGCCACGATGGCAAATCTAGCTTGTAGGACGCCAAATGCCCTCTCAACATCCTTCCGGCAAGCTTCTTGAACCTTAGCAAAATTCTTAATCAAATTAAAACATCTCAGTGCATCATATCACAACTGAAGATAAATTTGGGACTATAAATTCACCTTCTTTTCAAGCCCTTGTGGGGCCGAGATGGTTTTGACAAATGTTGACCAGTCGGGGTAAATACCATCCGCCAAGTAGTATCCTTGTTCGTATGTATTTCCATTGATGGTATATTGAACTCGAGGGGCTTTGCCATTAAGTAGCTTCTTGAAGAGAGGTGATCAATCAAGGACGTTGATGTCATTATGTGATCCTGGGAGGCCAAAGAAGGAGTGCCATATCCAGAGATCATGGGAGGCCACCGCTTCAAGGATAATTGTTGCAACCTGAAATCAAACCACTCTATCAATAATTGGACAAAATTCCTGTTTACGAAGCATAAAAGGAAGAAAATTGACCTTTTCTTTTCCTTGATATTGCCCTTTCCAGGCAGCTGGGCAATTTTTCCAATGCCAGTGCATACAGTCAATTGATCCAAGCATTCCAGGGAATCCTCGCTTTGAATTCACAGCAGTCAGTTGTTTGATATCTTCTTCGGTTGGATGTCTTAGGAACTCATCGCTGTATAATTCGACAATTGATTGGCAGAATTGTTTCAAGGCCTCCAGTGATGTGCTCTCGGCGATTCGGATGTATTCGTCATTCATATCGGCTGCACCTCCATAGGCAAGCATTCGTAGAGCTGAGGTTATCTTCTGAACTGGATGCAGACCAAGTCGGCCCAACGCATCGGCTTTCTGCTTGAAGTAAATATTGTGTGCAGTCACTTGGTCTACAATCCTCAGGAAAAGGGGTCGGTGCATCCGAAAGCGGCGTCGAAAGAGATAATCAACGTAGACTGGTTCAGGAGCAAGATAATCCTGGTAAAGTCGTTGATACCCTGCTTCAAATCCTCGAGGCAAGTTTGGAAGACGTCCGGGTCTTGATCCTCCACGTGTTGGTGGTTCCTTGTTGTTGTTCTCTTCTTCTTCAATAATAAGGTTTACTGTATCGGCTAGAGCTGTTTGGATTTGACGGGTAGTTGCCAGCGCCGCTGCTTGAGCATTCAACATGTTTTGGATGAGCTGTAGGTCCATCCGGAAGTTTTTGGCGAGTTGGATGATTCTTGAAGAAAGCAAAGGATGTCGGAATTGGACTCGGGGAGATAGATGGATTGTGGAGGGAATATCGGGGACTTGAGGAATCACAGATTCAAATGTGATTGTGTAGCAACCACGGGTGGGCAGAAAACGTGGGCGGGTTGCCACATGTAAATTCTGAGTTGCTACAGGGGGGATGTAGCAACCCGTTTGTACCTCCCGCGGTGGATATGCTCTGAACTTGATGCTTTGAGTAGCTTAACCACGTATCTTTCCAAAGTCTCGGGTGCGCCTCCTGAATCGGGAATCAAGGTCTTGGAAAAGATGATGGTGGATTGGCCTCCTGCCAAGCAATTCCCAGGTTTGCGCTGATATCTCAAGCCTCAGAACGAGTCGTTTTACTCAAGATGGCTTCAAACATTTTTTTTAATATTGTCAAATACAAAAATTTGGGTGAGACTTTGAAAAGTCAGGGTCATCAGAAGAAACAACAAAAACCCAAGAAACCAGCTTGTCCCATGTCACAAGCCAGCCAAAAAAAGTTCATTACAAGCTTGTTGCAAGTGGTTTCACGTCGTTTCCGGCTTTGGTGCTATTAGTGCGTCGCTGTGCTCGAAATGGATGGTAACAGGAACTTTGAGCCCTCTTGCCCGGGAAGCGTCAAGGGGAACGTGGCTTTCGCGTGCCTTTACTACTGTTAAGGCATATCTGTTTGAGCAGTCGGCGGTTGCGTCCGATTGATCGACGTGGAGCCTCCACTATATCGAGGACAAATTGAACCTCTTCATCAACTTGGGGGAAGGCAGAGTGGGGGCAGTTTTGCAAACAGTGAAAATGGAACACACGCATTGCCAAGCGATTGGAATCCCAGAAAATATACTCCCCACGGTTCCAAGAAGCGTCCCGACTGTTCGCCAGTAAGGCCTACATAGAACACGACGACCATTCCGTTTTTAGCCGATTACATATATCTTGAGAGTCTTTATTGACCCAGATCATGCGTACACTGTCAGGACATCAGTCGTTCTGGAGATATTGATGATATGAAGGCTAATAATAAGTAGCATCGAGATAAATGTGCCCAACGCCCTGATGTTTAAATGAACTGAAAGCCATCAAGGCAAGACAACCGATTCCATCAGTTATCTCTGTTTACTTGATCATCACATAGGTTACAATGTCGACCCACAAAATTGACGATCAGTCTTAATAGCTTCAAAATAACTCCTGTTTGCCACTACGCTGTGAGTATCAGTCTGGGCCCCACTTGCTGTGCCTGCGTTAGTATGTGACATCGAACCTCCACTACTGCACGACTTGATCGACGAGTTGGGCGATTGTTTGAGGTAATTTTGGACAAGTATCCAGAACAAAGCGACGAATATCTGGAGCAAATTTAGATATGTGCTCAAGAGCGAGCTTCGTGAGTGATGCCCAAGGCGATCTTCCGGCTTGTCTTGATAAAACCTGGGTTGACTTACTGGGCAGCTCACTGATTCAAAGGACAGGAAGAGGCATACACCAAGGCGAAAACGATGAAAACCAACTTCCAGACGAGGGGATGCATTGTGGAACAAGCTTGCCAACTGCATAGTTATTCCACGAAGCTGGGCCTGTGCCTCCAAAGATTGAGGTGTGGCTTGAAGCTGCTTCCAAAGTGAAGACCCTTGATCCAATGCCATTAACCCCTGCTTCATGTAAGAATGAATTTCACTGGTGACTGAAGTCACCCACGCAATGACAAAGATGGTAATGACCATCGCAGCAATCGGAACGAAGGTGAAGATGAAGTTTATCAATTGCGGTGGAATGTGGCTGATTGAAGCCATCGATTTCTCTTGCTGGTTTTTGTTACCATGGCAGCTTGATGAGGTGCAAAGTCAGCCCCAACGCAATACATTGCTCAAGAGAAATAACCGGACTAACATCGTAATCACCAAGAAACAATGTGACAGACTCCAGTATGCAAGAATTTCGGCCAGATTCATTAAACCAACGCTGCAATTTATTTATTTATTTACGAACCTTTAATCTTAGCAGAACACAAGCCCCTACGAAATCAGCCAAGGATGTACTCACGCAGGTAAGGCCCGATTGTCGAGGAGGTGTCCGCCTGGTGAAGCGGCCCCGATGTCAAACCAAATAAAAGCTGAAGTACTTGCAGAACTCAACAGTTGGGAAGTGGTCAATAAAACTCCAGCATTGGCGAAGTACAATGGTACTCGATGAGCTTGAGCGGAAAAAGATAAGGCCGTGCCATGTCAGCACCATGAACGCTCACATGAACGAGTCCTTAACAAACCTTTTCCGCTGGAGCAATCTTCAACATAAAACTTCTTCAGATACCATGGGGATCGTTTCAGTGGTCGAATGCATGGCAGTATCAAGAGGAGCAGACAAGTTGTGGCAATAAATGCGTGTAGAATCAAAATAACTACCAAGGATACTAAGGCGGCTCGGCATAGCGGAACGGAACCCCACTTCAAAAGGGAATCTTTGACGTAGTCGTACGGATCAGCACCGACAGGAATAGAGCTTAGAAGGCTTTCGACACGCAACATGAGTGAGTTTCGTAGTGTGCCTTCTTCAGTCGGATGCAGGGAAAAAAGAGCGATGAGCAAGACGAGTCACAGTCCGAAAGGTGTCTTCTAGAAATTTTGTCGGATGCGAGAACAAAACTCCATGGTTTAAATGTCCGTCAACAAGAGGTCAAAGGCCAAGCTGAAATGTGTTTGCCTGATTTCTGTAAGTTTTCCCAGGCTGCAGCGGCTATGTTGACATAAGAATGCAAACCTTAAACGATTGAGTCATTGACTTCATTTCATTTTAAAACTGCTGCAACCTGTTTGTCAACTTTTCCGCATCCAAGTTGATAAGAAAGGTGAACTGTGAGGACCAGATCAGCTAATCGTTTGCCTATGAAGACCGCGCTGGTGAAATTGGTTTCTTTCAATTCTTAACATCCAACAAGAAACGCATCGTTTGTGGTTTGTTTTGAAAAATTCCATCAGGTAACTAACTGTTCATCCTTCCTCAGTTCTGGATGTGAAGGGTCATGACATGAACAGTTCAGAGTTGCCTCAAAATGGCTCGGCGCATTATATTAACCACCCTCACTCCAATTGCAGCACATGAAAAAGAAACCTGTTAACTCTGAGATTGGCGGAAGATGGCTCCTCATGATCCAACAAAGTTCACGGGTTGGAAATGAGCCACCTGTCACCAGGAAATATCTGAGGGCAGTAGGTGTCAGGTGACATGAAGTGATGTATGTTACAACTCCATTTTTACTCTGGTGCTTGTCTGCTCAAATAACAATTTTCCCTTTGTGGTCATCAGGGAGTCCCAACCCTTTGACTTTGAAGTAACACTGGAATACAGGCAGGAGTTAGCTTCATGTCACCTGGCATGTACTGCCCTCAAATTTTTCATGGTGTGTTGTGTACGGAAACAGAAAAATAAATCTAGTTTCTATGTTTTGATCAACTCCCATTTGGTTTGATCAACTCCCATTTGTTTTGATCAACTCCCATTTCTTATTATGTCCAGTTAAGATTTCCTGTATCCATCAAACAACTCATCTCATTCAACATATGAAGTTCCACCAGTCTGTCCTGTCTACATACACTAGATTCATTCTGTCTTCCAACTAAATCACTCAGGTGGACAGTCATGATTCTTTTTTCCACGTGTAGAGTCAATATGAGGTACTTCTGTCAATATGGAGCCACCATCTTATGTATGTCCTCAAAATTCAAAATTGAAAGTCTACTTATTTTCAAGAGTCCAATGTAGAAATTTTTTTGAAGGTTGGTATTTCTAAATCCATCTTCTCTGAAGGAACCACTACAGCAACATAGTTCACATGAAATGTGATTCCAAATGGTAAGGAAAAGGTTTGAAAATTATTGCTGCTACTTGAGTAGTACTCTAGGGCTGAGAAAGGGGTCAATTCCACATTCAATTGATTACAATGATTGTGTATATCTACCTGACAACTCATCAACTATTGTTTTAGTTGGATGAAGAATATATTATTCAAAAATGGTAGAGGTTAGAAATCCCCCACTTCATTGGATTTGTTTGATCTTGTGAAAAATAATTTCTAACAACAAATGACATTGAAGTCCATCAGGCTCCTAAACTATCACTCACAACATGATTGATCCATATTTTGATATCTACCTTTGTGTTTTGTTTTATCTGTAGCCTCAAATCTCGAACACAGGGAGTGGGATTTGCAAATTAAATACCCACTCTCCTGGATCTTCTCAGCTTTGAAGCCTGTTTGATAATTGGTTGCTTCTCATCGTGGTTTATCCTCAATCCAAATTCTTTGTAATTTTGAACCCTAGTGTAACACTACCTGACCTTCCCTGGATCAGCTCAGTTGATCTTAGGACAGGAATGTTTCATACATTTGTGTACTTATGGGACATCCAACCAAAGAAAAAGAGTACAAATCTTCTCTTGAGTCAAAAACTCAGGAAACAAACATTTCCAAGTTGGAAATTCTGAATGTGCTCAAAAATGAGACGGCACGTTGTGCTGATCCGGCATTCTCTTTCCCTGCGTTTCTTGATGAGTCGCAAGAGTGAATGAGAAAAGACCCCTCACAAATAATCAGCTCCTTTGAAGATGCTAGTTTGTGATTCCTGACTAAAACTTATAAGCCTTCATAAGAATTTTCTTGGAGGTGGGAGCTTTGTTAAGCTTTAACTTCCCCCTGTTCATGAGGTGCCAGGAACATCACAGGGGACAGTAGATAGCTACTTGCAAGATCACTTGATGTATTTGCGTTCTTCCAACTTCCTTAATTGATCTTCAAGTCTTGCCTCTTTCTGGTGCCTCTCGGTGCCTCTTTCTGGTATGAGTATGTCTGGCAGCACTAGCTGATTGAAGTTTCTGATTTTTTTTACCCAGTCTTTATCCGTTAACAGAAGATATTAAGGAGTTATGGTCCAACTGCAGGGTTGTTGGGTGAAAAAGTGCCATGAAAATCAGAGTGGTGATTACGTAATCTTATGTGTTGCTCTATATAACAGTGTTGTTCGCCCAGCGTGATATGGGACACGATCGGACCAAAGATACCATCAACGCTTATTAAGGATGTCCAACAAACCTTTCAAGCTGTCGGCCACCCTCGTCGGCCATTCTCAAGATGTCAAGTCAGTCAAGTTTGTCAAGCCAGATTCAATCTTCTCCTGTGCCCGAGACACAACGGCCCGAGTTTGGAAGAGGAGCGATGAACAGTGGTCCGAACAGTTGGTGTACCAGAACTCCAACCCAGGCTTCTTAAACGCAATCGCAGCAATCACTATCAAGGATAAAGGTTTTTTTCTTGTCTTGTATTAAAAGCTCTCTTGGTCTCTATTTGCAACGCTTGCTAATCATGTGTGGTGTGTCGCCCTTCCAATTCCACAGAGTACATCATTAGTGCTGGACAAGATGCGTTGCTTCAACTTTGGCCACTTCATCCCGAATCTGATCAGTCCTACGCACCTGAATTCGTCCTGGCTGGTCACACCTCGAATGTATGCTGTCTGGACGTATACGATGCAGGTCCGGGACAGCAACCTACGATTTGCAGCGGGAGTTGGGATTGTTCAGCGATTGTTTGGCGTGATAATAATGCGGTTTACAACCTACGGGGACACTCTGCGGCCGTCTGGGCTGTTCTCGGCTTGGGCGATGCGGATGATAGCGTTCTCACTGCTGGAGCGGATAACTTGATTATGTTGTGGAAAAAGGGCAAACAGGCGCTTACCTTCAAAGGTCACACTCAAGCCGTTCGTGCATTGGCCAAGCTACCACAAAACCCTCAGCTGTTTGCATCCGCTGGGAATGATGCCACAGTCCGCGTATGGAATCTGGACGGGCAAGCAGTCCGGGTGATGGACGGACATGACTCATTTATCTACTCATTGAGCTCGATGCCTTCCGGCGAGATCGTATCATCAGGCGAAGATCGCACGGTGAGGATTTGGGACCCAAGCTCTGGTCAACTCACCCAAACCGTCACCGTTCCGGCCATAAGCGTTTGGACAGTCTCGGCCAATCCAGAAAACGGAGATATCGTGTGTGGCTCTTCGGACAACATGATCAGGGTATTCACTCGCTCAGAAGAACGCCTAGCCTCATCATCCGAACTTTCCAAATTTGAAGAATCCGTCAAGACCAGTTCAGTTCCGAGTGCCACCGTTGGTGATGTCAAAAAGTCAGACCTACCGAGTGTAGCAGTTTTACTATCTCGTCGAGGAAAGAAGGAGGGCGAAGTGGCGATGGCAAAAAACGAAAGCAATGGCGCAGTAGAGGCCTACCAATGGGATGGAATGAAAGGCGATTGGTCAATGGTCGGGACGGTTGTCGATGGTATTGGCTCAGCAAGAAAACAGCTCTTCGAAGGAAAGGAGTATGATTACGTCTTCGATGTCGATATCAAGGACGGAGAGCCCCCTCTCAAACTACCCTACAACGCATCTGGTAGGCTTGATTCTCTTGTTGGTCATCATTCTCACAAGAGTATCGAATCTGTCTTGAATCGCACATCGTCTTCACAGATAATCCATACACTGTCGCTCAAAAATGGCTCGCAAAGCACGAGCTGCCCGACACCTACGTCGACCAAGTCGTAGATTTCATCGACAAAAATACATCTGGCGTAGCCCTAGGAGGGCCGACTGCAGGCGCGGATCCGTTCACTGGTTCAGCCAGCTACCGCCCTAATCCTGGTCAAAATCAAACCCAGTCAAATGTTGGAGCTGATCCTTTCACCGGCGCTGGCAGCTATCGGCCGAATAGTGGTGCACCCTCTGTTGGTAAGAGTATTGGTCTCACTCTCCAGCTGATCTTGCAATCTAATTAACTATTCATCCGACAGGTGTCCAGTCGAATGAAACCAAGCCATCAGTTTCTCTGCTGCCTCATGTGCGATCAATATTTTATATCTGAATTCATGAGAGCTATGAAAGCTGATTTTGCAATTATAACAATCACCAGAAATCCTTTCTCAGTTTTCCGCCCACTAACTCTAACTTTTCAGTGGTAACAGGAAAGATCAAAGAGTTCAGTTCACAGCTCGTGAGTCTCAAGTATGAACTGCCATCTTTGTTTGCCCCCACTGGCCCTAATTGATCAACATTTTCAGGGCGGGAAAGAACTTTCTCCAACCGAACTTAAGGCTCTGAGTAGCTTAACCACGTATCTTTCCAAAGTCTCGGGTGCGCCTCCTGAATCAGGAATCAAGGTCTTGGAAAAGATGATGGTGGATTGGCCTCCTGCCAAGCAATTCCCAGGTCCGTGCTGATATCTCAAGCCTCAGAAGGAGTTGTTTTACTCAAGATGGCCTCAAACCTTTTTTTAATATATCTACAGCCATTGATATTGTTAGAACAATGTCGATTTCCGTCCTATCAGCTCAACTTCTTCCTTGCCTTCTTGCCAAAATTCGAGAACTGGATGATCAGCCTGGAACCGAACTTAATTTCACATTGGCCGTTCGAGCATTAAGCAATGGCTTGACATCCTGCCCAATCACAACCAGTCAACCAACGCTGATCAACAAACCAGATTTGGCTAAGCAGATATGTGATCTCCTGTCTTCTGAGAGTTCACCAAAGCTCAACTTGACGACAAAGAATGCGAAAGTTGCCTTCGCCACCTTGCTTCTGAAGTACGTCAGCTAGTGCATCTATCCGTCAGGGGGTACTTGGCTGGAATTGACCTCTTTATCAACGTGTTTAATCAGTTTGTCAATTTTGTGTGTCGATGGTATTCTTGACTCTGATGCTGTGGCTCAGCTATTGGCTCTAACTGGACAAGTAAGTTTTCAAAAACATAGTTTATCGATCAAAACAAAAAAAGAATGTCTACCAAATTAAAATATCTGATTCAATGAATCTGATCTTACTTCCACTTGTCTGTCAACCATCAGTTCGTTAGCGCAGAAGCAGAGGAGGAGGCAGTCTACAGAAGTCTGATTGGATTGGGAAATATGGTATGTTCCCGGATCTCTACATTTTAACCACAATCCTTTCATTCGAATCTGACTATTTACTTTTATCTCCGATTGTTTGACGTAATAGGTTTCATCCCAGAAGACCTCAGGGCTGTTGACTAGTGAAGCCAAGAGTAAGATTGCCACTCTCCTGTCTTATGTTCAAGGCGGACGAACCGGTCCGAATCGGTTATCTGATGCAATCAAAGAAATCAGTACGCTAATCAAATAGGAACTCGAGAAGGAAAGAAAAAAAAACCCTTGAGCTCCATTTTCTTCATGACCAATTCATACTTTGTTATACCATACTATCATACATGCATAGAGTGTCAGCTAGGTTTAACAAGCTGACAAGTGTAGGAATATTAATAGAAGCGGCCTTATTGGGCCATGTGAATTGCAAAACCATGCGCCGACAGGTGTGCTGTAGAGCACCCCCGAAGACTGACACAAGGGACGCCATGTCCTCAATCGCCGCAGCGTTTTTCTTCAGCTCAGTGATAGAAGTGTCCTGGCTTGTTTACAAGCTGGCCCCCAAGTGAAGTTCCTGGCCTTGCATTCTAACTTTGAGGAGTAATTTCCCAGTCCAAACAAGATTTTGCTACCAAGATCAGTGCTGGGGTTCAACTCAGAACAAGAACACTGACAGATGCCAAGAGGGTCAAATAGGCACAAATCAATTTACTCAGGCGTTGTGACGTACATAATTCATCGAAAATTCAGTCGTGTTTTGATCACAACCCTCACTCACCGAGTCACCTGGAATTTGACGATGAAAAACAGCTACAGTGCAACTTTTTTGTAGTCCATCCATCTTGAATCCACCATCTCATTCTCAACCTGCCTTGGGGGGATAGGAAAGCCCACTGCAGCTCTCCCACTGCAGCTCTCCCACTGCAGCTCTTGGGTTGCCTGCTCTGAATTGTTCAAGAGCTTTGTTTTCCTTTCGAATTAAGGTATCTTCTCATTTTATATGATTACAATGTTTGCTTCCTGGTAGGCCCGCGTTGACGTATTGGATTCCATATTTTCTGACCATAAAACAAGTGAGATGGTTTCATGAATTCCGGTAAAACGCTGTATCCGATGTTTCATCTGAGTCATGTTGTATATTTACTCCCCGCCACTACTTGCCAGAGTTTCTCCTTTGGGCTCGGATAGTCCCGCTCCCCGAGCCTCAGGGTTTAGGTACATTCTCGTCTGAGGAGTTTGAGCGAAACCGCCTCTTCTTGCCAGGTCAGATCAATGACATTGGTATTTGTTCCACAACCTATCTAGCCGGATTGCTCGCCAGAAACTCTGCTCTGGTAAAACGTAACAACAATAAGGTCTCGACATCCCAATTTCCTCATTCACGAAGCAGAGTATAAACTCCCGTCATGAGCATTACCATCTCGAAGAAAGCCCAGTATCAGAAATCTCAATAATCAGGCTGGCGCGCCTGATATCGACTTGGTTTATTGATGACCAATTTTTCATTTATCCCAGCTGTCGCTTTCCTCTGCGATGGTCAGTTTAGAAAATAATAACATATCTAGGCTACAATTTCCTTCAATCAAACTTTTAGTCATCGTCTTGACGGCGTTGTGTGGCCCTTCCTTGCCTCTGTCAAGTGCTCCTACACCAGTTGTGTCGGATTTCAACACTCCCATGGACCTTCCAGTAGAAGTGAGTAGCTAACTAAGCGTGACACCCACACTCTCTCTCTCCCACTTCCTCCTTTTTTTGCACAATGAAGTATTGTTTGATGGCAACATTGATGAACATATACTAATTCTAATTTAGGCCTTCTTCAGTAGGACGAAGACACCAAATGACGAGCCTTGTCGCCTGCCAACTGGAAAAACTTCGGTGGGCAATTTGTTTGATAATTCTCTTGTTTCACCCTTCCACTACTTCATGTGTTTAGTGATGAAATGCTCAAGGTTCATGTCTTACCAACTTAGAAATTAAAATCAAACAAGTCAAATCACTCGCCATCAAAAGAACCTGGGGAAGCTCTCAGCCAATCTGGGGGTGATTTTGGAATGAAATATTCGACTACAGAGTGCGCCCTTCAGGACTGGAAGACATCACATTCTGCACTGTTATTAACAAATTTCAACTGCATTTGGTTTTATTGATATTGATAGGCTTCCGGAGCTGCCCAATCTACATTCTTCGCCTCAGCCCAGAACAAATCCTCGACCTCAATCAGTTAGACTTCCTGATGTAATCAAACCTCCAGCACAAGCACCTCATTTTCCTTCTGCAAAGCCCAGGAATAGGGATAAGGTTAAAGATGCTATTCGTAATAACTGGTCATACTATTTCAAAAAGCTCTCCAGGAAACTCCTATCCATGATTACGACAAATGCTGCAGCCGGAAACAGATGGAAGATAATCAATGTGGATTTTATAGCCAACATCACATCGATTGATATGCCCAATAATCTCACGTCACCTGCAGCAATCTTTCAGGGTATCATGAATAGCCCTGGAGAGGGTGGAGGGGATATGACAAGACTTCTCGATCAAATCGTTTCCTTAGCGCCGATAGGTCCTCTAGTTCACCGAACCGAAGTGGATCTCGACTTCAACCTAGAACAAGTCGTCCAGCTTTACTTTATTTCACCTCGTGAAAGCACGACCCGTTTGTCTTCTGTAGGCCCTGGAGCGATCCCACGGGTTACTGCAAGTTCGGATCAAAACGGCAATCCGAGAAGTCTAAAGGGCACGATAGATCCACTCAAAGACTATCTGGTTGACCGTGCTCCGATAAAAACAAAATCGGTAAGGCTTTTCTGCGCAACGTTCCACGGACCTTGCTTACCCCTTCTCATTCATTATTCATAATTTCAAAAAATAGCGTATCCGAGAAAGCTTGAAAGGACAATCCGCAGAATTTCAATCATCACAAAGTCCTGGAATTTTTAAGGAAGCCTTCAGCTTTTGGCTTTCAGCTACTTTGCATCAAATTCATCCGTTTGAGAATAGGTCTTGGTTATCATTATGCCCATCCAAGCTAGGTAAACAAAATTCAAGAATTCTGACTCCTTGTGTAGTGATTTTTACAAGTACCAAAAAAGGTGAACATCCATCTTATTGTTTTCTTGTGATTTCTGAACTAGGTAGAGCAATCATTTGACTGATGCATTTTTTCTGTACCCTTTTTGAATGGCGGATGGATTAGACCACATTCAGTCAATCATCACTTATGATCTTCCTTTGCTATGAATCTGAGGCCTTTGAAGGTATCAACAACCTCTTGATGAAAATCCAATCATTCGGGACCTGGACTACCGTGGTGAAGCATTTGGACTTGACTTCATTTGGCAATCTGGGCCTCCTTGACTATACTAAATACAACATGTTTAATTTTGATTCATTTCAAATATTTCATAGTTTTTCATCTCCTGAGCTTTTCAAATATACCAACTCCCAACTTATTTATATTTCTCTGAATGTCCTAGAATAATTCTTTTCTTCTTTCTGTGCATCTTTGTGGTTTTAGAGTGATGATTTTTCTACAGACATTTTGGAATGATTAAGCAAAAATGGAACACAAATAATGCATGATTGACAAGGCAGATAAGTGAGAAAAATGGGCAGAGCTTCATGGTGATGGAATGCATGATCAAAGAAAGTACATAGTTCATACAAGGACCTGTGGTAAAAAAGTAAACAATAGAACAAGAGAGTTAGTCAATTCCAAGTAGAGCTTCTCATCAGGTGCTTGGTGTAGTGGCAAGAATGTTGGCCCAATGAGCTCCGTAATCAACTGGGGAAAAATGGACGGTTTGAGTTGATTCTGTGAGACCGCAAGCATGAATAAAACTGGCCAGGAGCTAACTTAGCAAGTCCCTCTATTGAAGGGCCGTTTTCCTGCAGGGACCCTCCCTCCTCCCTCCGGTCGGCGCAATGTGACAAGTGGTTTACCACTCCGACCACGAAGGAAGTCAGGTTCAGAGAATGTTGAGGCTTTCGAAGGATTCCACATTGCATTCGAGCAAACCCTGCCAGTGCCTGCGCCGCGAGGCTTGCGGCATCGTATGTAAGGTTTTCCAGGTGGGATGACCGCGTGTTAAGGCAGACAGTTGTCCTCTGTATCGCGCCACGGAGTGTTCTTGGAATTTTCCAAAACACTTGGCGAAAAATTCGTGCGAGCACTGCCCCAGCTACAGCCCTACCCATCGCATCCGCATGGACGGACTTTCAAAATACTGTACATACTGTATACTTCAAGCAGTTTTGTGACTGGGTCATCTTTGCGAATCAGAACTAATCAGAAGGTCTATGATGCCATCAGTCTCTCAAGATAAGCCTTGCGCATGATTTTGGCTGAGGAGGCTGGGCTGATAATAACCTTTCTTTTAGGAACTGGGAAAAGGCTATCTCCCCAGCCTCTTCAATGTAAATCTTACCCTTGCTCGCGGTGCAACATCTTGCACGCGCCGGCGCGGCTCCAGACCAGGCAAATCTCTCGAACTTCGAAGGCAACGATTTGTTAACTTTGTTCGGATGGGCCTGAAATCGCCGACGCAATTCACAGCATAATTTACATTTAAACATTTGAATACATTTGGCAATACTGGAAGTTACACCAGCCATGTACAACTGCGTGAGAGTGCGTGGCCACGAATTGAATTCCCATCAACGCATATCTTGAGCCTTGATTACTGGCAACAGCCTGCTGCCTGAAGGTACATGCTCCGATACCGATTGTTCTTTCCAGCCTCCAGTGACAACGAGAACTTCAACAAGTCATCCGCGAAGCAAGTATGGCGAGCAAAGAATCCGCGCTTAGTTATGAGAGGCTTTTGGGTATTGTACCAGTTGGTGTCGACCCTTATGCCTTTATCAAAGATTTCATCACGACCTGGAGTTCAGTTCCACTATCCCGAATCACCTTGGCCTTCTTGATGATTTTCTTTGGCCTTCATGTGCTTATTGCCGGAATTTGCTTGATCATCTTGATATTACCTCATACTCGCGGAGCCAATCGATCACAATGGGTCTTGAGGAAGTTGTATATTCAAGAGCAATCTGGTCGAGAAGGTTTGTTCTGAAAGCGCAATATTTTTTTTCCTGGTGGCGTGGCCGGATCTGATTGTTTTGCATTTTCAACTCAAGCTCACCAAGCTCCTCTGTATTTCGCCAATGCCAGGGTCTTGTTGACTATCTCCCAGCTTCTGAGTTCTGTCAGTACCCCGGCTTTCATTTGGTTTGACACCGGGATCACCACACCAAACGAGCACTCTTTGCGCCCTCAAGTCATGCCTGCGTAAGATCAATTCTTACATGCCCTCTATCCCGTCTTGTTTTCTTTTTGCGCAATTTTATTGACAAAAGAATGTGATGATCATCGACCGCGACGCCTTCACCAACTACCAGGTTTGGTTTAATGAATCTAGCTGAAATTCTCGCTTACTGGAGTCTATCGCATTGCTTTTTGGTGACAGTGTAGGTCCAATTACCTCCCTTTCCACGAATCTGCAATAAATTGGCTAATTTTTCACATATTGAAGCTGCTATGGTCACAAAAGCCAAGGGGATAACTCTACAGGATTAATCAGGTATATTTCACCGCGGTTGATAAATTTCTTGTTCATCTGCTTCCCAATCGCTGCGACGGCCATGACTATCGTCGTCGTAACCCGAGTAATCGTGGTCACCAATGGTGTTCAATCTGGCATGGTCCAGCTGTTTGCTGGATTGGATCGTGGGTCCTCTCTTTGGAAGCAAATTGCAGTCAAATCACAATCTTCGGTAGCCCAGGCCCAGCTCAATCAACTCAATTTGGAGCTGAAGGGGTTGGCAAATGAAACAGCGCTTCTGTTGGAAACGTCTTTCGAGCGTTTTCGGTTTGGCGAATGCACATTCTTGTTCTTCTCATCATTGAGCTGCCCGGTAAGCAAATTTGATTATGCAACAAAAAACTCGAGGAGCATCGCCTTTTGAATTGGTAACTTGTGGCAATGACTCAATGTTAGCGGCTTGTGAATGTCTTTCAGGTATTTATCGTTTTGTTCTTTGTACTCCTTCGGAATTACCAACACCAAAGACGCAATCTTTCCACGAAGCTGTTCCGCCCGGGAAATGCATCGAAGCATGAAAATACGCATAGTGATAGTGATACGCAATGTCACAGCTCAGCGGCCAACATGGGTTATTTCGAGGCTATAAGAACGGACCGTCAATTTCGTAAGTAATTAATCCTGACAACTTTAAAATTCGAGTAAGAAGGTCTCACTGCCCACTTGATTTTCGTTATTGATGACGCATAGTTCATTTGAACATGAGGGCACTCGGGACATTTATCGCAATGCTTGTCAACATTATCGTGCACCTGATTGCCATTTTCAGGACAGTCGATACCTTGGCAGTGTGCGTAGCTTCATATAGCCATTGTGAGTATCCTGCAACTGACTCCGAACAAATTGACTGCATTTCTCTAGGCCCTACTGGCGCGGAGTCGTATCATGTCTGGCCACTGGGGGAAGCACGTTTTCTGGGATTCCGATTGCTTGGCAATGTGTGAGTTCTAGATTCGCGCTCCGTGGTAAATTTGCGTCTCGATTCTTTCGAAGGTTTAATGAATGTTTTGCATTGATTCACGAGAAAGTGGAGGCTCTACGCCGATCAAGTGCACTCTTCCGCTCAAGCTTCAAAAAACGATGTTTCGACTTTGGAGGAGCTCCCCAAAACCACCGTTTTCTCCGGTGCCTGTGACGAGTCAGCATCCGAAATTCATGTTTTTCAAAAATAGGTCGTCGTTGGCGCCACAAATGGATTCACCGCTTAAACATCTACAGCCATCTTATAACTTATGGGTTTTTTTTATTTGGTTCCTTGGTAACCGTGGTTTGGTTTCGGGGTCAGATGATGCTTTTCTTCTTTTATGTACTTTCCTCCAGTTTTTTTTTCTCTTTTTTTTCAGAGCTATTCATCAATAGGGTCATTGGCAAAATGCAAATCAGCTTTAGGAACACCTACATTACGTCAATGGACATTCTATTAAACCCTTGTAAAATCAATGTTACATCATATATGCACTCTGTTTACAAAGCGGTCTCACTACGAAGGTATGCTTCAGGTCTTCGAATTCATTCAAGGGTTCTATGTAGTCTCGCTTGCTCTATTTATGTGTAGATTAAGAATTTGGATAATGTGTTTCTTTGCAATCGCTGTGGCTTGAACTACATGTGCAGGCATCTTGAGGTATGCTAGACAGTTTTTTGACAGTCTCACACTGATTGGTTTCTGTCTGCATTGGGGCATCTCGACCGCAATTTTTTCCTTCTGGTTATGATTGGATTGCACAGAGTAAATAACTACGCAGAGTCATTGCAGCACTTCCCGTCACAATGTGCGGGTCCCCCAGAACAAATCTAGAGCCTCAAAAACCAAATTTCTCTGCGAGAATCTGTGATTTTCGAGTCTAAAGCGGCTTCTGCAAGGGTTCCAGATCCGACGGGAAGTCCTCCGTTCCTGATCCAGCTAGAGAATGTTTTTTGTTGAGGTGATCTTTAATGTCTGACTTACATGAATGCATTTGTTATGTTCCACTCATTCCTAAAAGCCGCGTCCACTTCAATGAATGCTCAGCGGAGTACCATCATTTCTGAGCTTTTGAAATGTTGAAGAAAAGCAGCTTCTCCAATGGCTTCACCGACTCGGTGATTGCAGCATTCCTTCACATAAAAGAAGGAGCTCCTATCGCGCTTCCAACACTTCCTCAATTCCCTCCATACTTCTTCACCCTCGCCTGATACCACCCCTCCACTTCCAAGACTTAAAAGCGTATCTTTTTAGTGCCCATCTGAAGATCAAGTATCAACAAAGAATTTCCAGCCGGCCTTACCGTTTCTAATAATTGCCTTATCAGCCAATTTCAGTACACACCCCTCCCGACACTAATCACATATTCGGCCTTGCACAGCGAAATGGTCCAACCAGACGCAAGAAGTGACAAAACTCAGAACAGCCGCCAACCGCGTCCGCGTGAGGCATATTTAGACGATAGAGCCCGGATTTACTACCAGGCTAGCCACCCCGCTTTGGTCGGGCCGCGTCATCCAGGCGCGCCCCCTGTCCGTCACCCGAGAACCCTGACCATAATCATGCGCGAAGCTCGCCCCTTGTCGCGGGACCTCGGAACACCAGCCACGCCGGCGCCAGGAACACAAGGAGTTCTTCGAAGCCCAAGCTGCGACAAAAAAGTCGACAAAGATGAGCGAACACAAATGCGAGCGGCTGCATTCTCGCGAGTTGATTCACTCCTTTCCAGGAGAGCTTCTTCTTGAAACCAGTAGCAGTGGAACAACTTAGTTCACTCCCGTAATCCTGTAATCGCTCATAATTTGCCTTCAGTTGTGATAGTCATTTTTTTTGTTGATTCCTTTTGCAACATCAGGTTCCCTAGTGCCTCCTTTCAATTAGAAATATGAAAATTGAAATCCAATCAAGCCCACTAGAATTGAGGCTGATCAGTGTTCCCTTCACTTTGTAAGTCTGTTTCCATTGTCAAGACCAGAAAAAGCTAGCAAATAATGACATACTCGCCATTGCGATCGGCCATCGGCGCTCGCACCCGAGTCCGTAGGCTGCTTTCTGAGACGATACGTTGGCACTCCTGCTTCCATCGATTGCTGGAGTCGGAGCCGCACAATTAAGTTCAACTGGCAACCCCCAGAGCCCAGTGCCTTTAGACGGGAGGGGCAACTAGAGCAAAATTTTTGCAATAGTGTGAAATGCATGCACCAAATTCACATTGAGCCCGACCGACTCATAGCCTGCCAGACGAGAAGCTTTTAATTGGAACTTGGCAAGACGCGGATGAGCAGCACAGAATGATGCTTTACTGGTGAGCCCAGTCCTGATGGCGGAGTGACACCTTGATGAATCAAGAGGCAGAACAAAAGAAAAAACAAAGATTTACTTTCACCCATGGCCTGAGGCGGAATAAGTGTTTTTTCTTCATTCTTTATTGAATTCTCAATTCCTCAGTAAATTATGAAGTATTTGGACCTGAATTTCTTTCATGGTATGAGGTGGGTCGATTTTTTTCCTCCATAAATTTTTTCTCCATCTCCATGAAATTGTGATCAGTCCATCACCATGAAAATGGGAACACCTTTTATACACCCAGTAACCATTTAAGAAAAATGTCCAGTACCAATTTAACACTGGACTTAGCCGGTAACTTCTTGTCAACCAAAGGTGGATGTGACAAGTACTTGATTCACAACCCTTTGGTCTATCCTATTTCCTCTTCCACAAATGTGTTGGCCACATGATCCCAAAAATCAATGACATTGCACTTTTTTGTTTGACCCTTAACTTTGGCATCACAAAAGTAAAATATGATTTGAACCAATAATTTCACTATTTGATTGCCTAACCCAACAATAACACCTCACCATACTTTTTATCCAACAACAAACTATTATTAGTTAATAAACATCATTCTGTATCAGACCAGTTCCCTTGTGTCTGCCACCAAAAAAAATCAATTGTGCATTGGTCCTTGAGTGAAAAAAGAATACCAGTGTCAGCTCCGGTCTCTTATGTGACCAGGAGTTGATAGGGTTTTTGGGTTGCACTATAGCCAAGAGGGCCAGTGGAAATGAAGTCCAACTCAACACTGGTACAGTGGAGGGACTGGCTCCTTATAAAAATAAGGGACAGCTGTGGAATGAGCTTCACAGTGCCAGAGCTTGGTTAATTTAAGAGAAAAGGGTTTGTACTAGTCTTATAAGTTAAATAAGTAACTTATAAGGCTAGTAATGAGGATAGAGGAAAGTGTAATTAATATGTTTAAAGACTATTGTAAAAACCCCACTCACTATTCATTAGTATGTAATATCTAGTAAGGTGATTGGGTTTGTATGGTAATATTGTCTGGGGGATGAATCTCAGGGGGAGAGCCATACTCTTGAATATTACAGAGCAGGGGTCAAACCGCTGCTGGGACCGGTGCAGTCCCCTTATTGGTGTACTATTCCTTGGGGGAAAGTGTCAGGATATTCAGAGCATGTTAAATGTACATGTGATGAATATCCTTTATTTCAGAAAATACACATAAGAGAGATAGATAAACAGAATATATATTCACACAAGAGAGATAAACAGGAAAATCATCTCTTGGATACACCCAAGAGATAATTATCCTTTTCATCTTGAGTATAATTTTCATGGAAGAGGTAAATTAATAAAGAGGTGAATCCTTATTAAATTACAGAATAATTATTAACATAAAAATATATATAGTAATAAATAATATTAATCAATACTTATTAACTTAAAGATTACATAGAATCATATTTATTATGTAACCCAAGGGGGTTACATTCTATTGTAGACACCTGGGCTAGTGTCTCAGTGTCTGACAACCAGGTACCATAAACATGTGATTGTCTTCAGGTATTCACCCATCTGTTTTTCTGGTGGATCCATTGGGTATAATCACATTTACCTTTGAGTTCCTTGCCTGACATTTTGATTGAATTGATGGACAAGAATAGCCCTTTGTGTAGGATTGAAGTGGTGCCAGCAAGCATACTCAGGTGGATAAGCAATTTCTGTCAGGGTTCTAAAAACAAACCACCTCATGTAAGAAACAAGAAAGGATTATATAAATTAGTGTGCATATGCAAACAGCAACACAAAAAGAGAATTGAATAATGAATTTAGGGCTTATTACTGTAGCGCAGTAAACAATGTAACTTACCCACACAAGCTTAATGATTGGCAACACAAAGAGTACCCCAACAGTTAACTAATAATATATCTATTCCATTGGTTTCCTTTCAATCCAACACAAAGATAAGACCACCAGGGCTAGTTATAATAATTTAATCAGCAGTTAAGTATATGGAGACAATTCCTTCAGTGCAATAATTATCACAATGTTTTGTCTAGAAATTCTAATTTAGAAACTCCTACACCGCCTACTACAGCACTTTTTCTGTAGTTATTTGA